GATAGACTCATCCTTACTACCAGATGCTAATAAAATACCATCAGGAGAATATTATACTGATTCTATATAATTAGTAGGGCCATCCAATTTAGCTTTTTTTTTTCTGGTCTTAACATCCCATAAACGGATAGAATAATCCCAACTACCAGATGCTAATGTAGTACCATCAGGTGAGAAACACACTGATCTTACAAAATCACTATGACCATTCAATTTTGCTTTTTGTTATCCTGTTATAAAGTCCCATAAACGAACAGACTTATCATCACTACCAGATGCCAATGTATTACCATCAGGAGAGAAACAAACTGATCCAACAGCTTTACTATGACCTTCTAATTCATTCAATTCATTTATTTTAATACTTTTCCATTTACAATTAAACAATTATGATCCATTCAAATTGATCCCACTCATTTCTACATTATTAAATATGGAACCACTCAAATTGCATCTGACTAAATTAGCTCCAATAATGGAAGTATTCTAAATTTTTATATCTTCAAAACATTAATAGGCTAGATCAACTTTCATTTCAACTAATAAGTGAAGTGAATTTGATCCCAATCAATGAATTAAGTATCAATAGCTGTGAGAAAAACTAAAAATTTTAAAAATTAAATAATTTTCTTTATCTCAGCAATTTTCTTTATTATATTTTGTTTATTTTCAAAATATTTTTTAGATGAATAATTAATATTATTAAAGTCATGAACTTTAATTAATTAAAGAATATTAATAATTCTCTTAATGCTATTTTTTACAAAATTAAGCTATTCCTATTCATAAAATTCTAAATTTTTTATTTTTAAAATGCATTATTCAAGATGTTTTTGATTCTCATCTATTGAAAGATATTTTAGGCTATCTGATATGTTTTCTTTCCTAAAAATTTTTATCATTTCACTGAATACTGATTCATCAACGTTTTCAACTTACACAAAAATCTCAAATAGTTCTTCTTTTTCATAATTAATGTAATCCATAACCTTTTTTTTAAAAATATTGAATTGCTATTAGTTTTTTTATTATTTATATTAAAAAAATGGGGAAAAATGATTGAAAATGAAATGACTAATGATTAACAATAGAGGAATAAAGTGATTATTTCTTTCTTTATTCTTTAAATGTATAGAGTATAATTTTAAATTTTGGGAAGATTTTAGTTTGGATTCTTTTAATTATTTCCCTTGAACTACTTATATTACCCCTTTAGTTTTGACTAAATATTTTTTTTATTAAATTCTTTGGTATATCGTGCTACAATCCTTGCTTCTGTTTGCTGTGGAGATAGTTTGAAATGCAATAAATGCCAATACACTTGTATCAACAAAAAAAAAAAGAAGGAAGATTATAACAATTCTGAATAAGGGATGTGTTTTCCCTAATTTTATTCTTACTTTTGAGATGACATTAAGGATTGTTGATTCCATTTAGTTATTAGCAGGCTTGATATTCAGCTTGTTTCCTTGGCTAGCTTTATTCTTTTTCTTAAACCCAGCAGAATTATGAACTGAATATTTTCCAAGGAATGACTGCGATAGAAAACTATTTTATTGGCTGACTTTATTTTGAGTTCTGAGACTACCATTCTAATCAACTTTTGTCTCATTCAAAATCCTAGTGAGAAATCTGTAGATTACTCTTTTTTAATAGTTTTTTTGATGCTCTCCAAATTATAACTTCTCCTGCTACTTCCTTATATCACCAGATAGGAGATTTTTTAAATAAATACTAAGGTATTTGTAAAACCCACTTTAAGAAATTTTGTATGAATGACTGATGCAAATATATAGTTCGGTGTACTGGCCAATTGACTTTGAAAAGATCGACAGCTATGTCATATGTAAATTTAATGGCTGCAAGCAATTTTTAGATAATCGCAATATAAAATGTATAATGTCCTCTTCAATTATAAACAATTATGCAATAGAATGTTTTACTTAAAGAATCAGAAGTTTGAAAGACCATAAAGTAAAAGACCGAAGTTTTTTGTTTAGATACTTGAGTCAAAATAAATATAAAACTGCTCATAATAACTTTACATTTTGTAAATATTGCTTTTCTCCATAGATTTATTTTTGATTTGAGCATAATTCTCGATTATTTGATGTTCAGCTCAGCATTTATGGTATATCCAATAATACTTTGGAATATTAGATTAAATATTAATATTTTACTTTTATTTGTCTTCTATTAATCATTAGTTCTTAAATGATTCCTTATCATATAATTTTATAAAGGACAACTTATCTAAACTCTAAACTTTAGGTAAGACATATTTCATTTGAAATGTACTCAGTAATTTATTTATTCAAGAATAATCTTTTCTTAAAATAATTGTTCTATTGGCAGATAATAATTGCCATAATTCAAATGATTTTTTATGAATAAATATATTTAATTATTAGAAGGAGAAAAAATTCAATTCAATTAATTCTTTTCCTTCTAACAATAATTTCATTCAAATTCCAGTATGGTTTATTTTTTATGATTAAAACTATTGAAACTTCATCATAGTTATTTTCAATTGTATTGATATACTTCCCATTAACATAGTAAAATAGTAACATCCATTATTTGCCTTTCTTTTAATGAATGAAAAAAATTTTCCTTTTATGTTTGGATAGGACTTCCTTGATAATAGTATTAAAGCTCTAATTGTTATTAAGTTAGAACATCAATAACAATGTTGAGATCAAAAAATAAAAAATGAAAAGCAAAATTAACATTACTTTGCAGGATTAGTTTTGCATATCCCTTGCATTAGAATTTATCAGTATAGGTATTATCTCAAATGAATTTCTCTATTACCTATAAAGATATAGTTAGATTTAGAAAATTTGTGAGACAGGAAAATTGCGAAAGATTATTGCAAAAGTTTTCATTATTTAGTGCAATTCTTTAATCCAAATTTTATTTTAAGATAAATTATTTTATGTTTCATATAAATTGAGAGTTTTGATTATAAAATATAATAATGACAATTTTGCAAGGAGATAATGACTTAATATCATGTTCAAATTGTAGTGAGCAAAAAGATTGCTTGCTCTTCTAGTTAGAAATTAAACATGATCAATATATAGGACATTTGGGTAGATAATAGAGCCAATAGATATGGAATATATAAATAGGTACTCGATTTAATACATTCAAAGTCACTATGAATTCATTGTTTCTTTTACTGCAAGATTTGAGTTGACATCACTAGACAAACAAGTTACTTTTATTGTTGAAAAAATTTAATTCAAAAACAACTCATAAGAAGAATCATGTCCACGCAAGGATTTTAAGTTTCATCAGCTGAACTTTTGAAAATGACTGTAGAACTAAAAGTATGAAGAATTAAAAATGATAATAAACCTAATTTTTTAATTGTGTGAAATCATTTGATAAAATTTCAATATATTTGTGATTTACGTATAAATTCCCAGAAGACTACCATAAGCAAAACCTTTCAAATGTATTCATATAACAAGAAAATATCTTAAGTTTTTTTAATTAAGTTAAATTGATTTACTCCAAAGAATTTTAAAAATAATTTTTTTAGAAAAATCATACCACAATTATATCTCTTTTAAGTCTTATTATATATAATAATTAAATGATTTATTTTAGGTGAATTTAATTATTTTTATTCTTTTCTTCGTTTCCCATTAGCAATTATAAAATCTCTTTTTTCTTATGACAATTTCAACTAAACAATATAGGTAGGTACCCTTGAAATTTTAACTCTATTAATTTTATCCTTCTAGAACATACTTTTAAAATCTCTTTTGAATTTGCAAATTCCCTACCAATAAAATTTCTTATTTTTAATCAAATGACAAGAGAGAGTAATCAGGGCTTACTTCCTTTAGTCCACCATTTTAAATTATCTTAAGTCTCCTTACTGAATAAAGGTTATTATATGATTTGTGAAATTTGCTACTTGGAGTAAGATGAGTATGTTCTAATTAAGATAAAGATACTTGTTTCATTATCTAATTTGATTAACTTCTACTGTTTCAATTATTTTATTCTGGCTTTTAATATTTAATTCCTTTTACAACCTTATCGTATAAACCTCTTACATATTAATTCTATTTCATATTTTTATCATCCTTTAGAAATATGGGTTTTTTCTCATACCCTTAATATTAAGTTTAAGTTTATTCATCAGGTTTCTCTTTAATACATTTTTTTCTATATCCCTCGATTCAATTACACTTCTATCATCTGATTAGAAAAAAAGATCAAAGAATTTTATTGGTTTTATCACTTTCTCTTTTAATTTCACTCTTATCTTGATATTAATTTTTTCTCTTTTTTTATCAAACACACCCTTGCTCAGAACAAACCTATGCATTTTGTAGCATCTTTTAAATTTATTCAATTCCTTCAATTTCTCAGTTTAATTCATGTTTATTATAAGACTAAACAGTAGATTTTTGGTTGTTCAAACTTTTAAAAATCCAAAGTATCGAAAATAGTAAATTATTCAAATTTTGTAACATACATTTGCAACTTTAACTCTATAAAAATCACGTCATTCAATAACCTCTCTATAAATAAATTTATTGAAGATTAATTTACTTGAAAATCATTTTGGGCAATATATAGTGCTGTAATTAGGTGTCTTAAGCGGAGTCTCTTATTAACAATTGTTTTATAAGATAAGACTTTGTTTGCCATTTAAAAATTACAATTTAAAAAATTCTATTAATAATTAATTCTAACAATTATATAATATTATTAACAATATTAATTTATTATATTTATTTAATAAATTAAGCAAAAGTCTGCAATATAGTTTATATAATTGATAATATATTTAATTGAATATAATACAAATTATTTAGTGTGTAAGTAATGAGAATCATTATGAACTTTTGAGCGATGGATTTGTTTAGCTTTTTCATAAATAATTTTTGGAGGTGAAAATAAAAACAATAAAAAATTAGAAGGAAGGATTGTATATAGAAACTGAAAAAAATTTTAATTAAGAAAAATACTTTAAAAGCGAAATGAAATTAATTTATTTATTTAAAGTATCATTATTATTAAATATATTAGAATTATTACTAACCAAACTTTAATTAATTGAGCTATTAATTCATATATAAATAATTAAAAAATATATTTATTATTTATATTTGAGCTTTTGTTAAATCAATAATAATTTTATAGTTTAGAAAAATTTGATTAATCAAAATTCTGTTTTTATGTAAAAAAAATCCAGTTTATATTGAAAGAGAATAATTTTATTAATGATTAATATTAATTAATTAGATAAGGATTATACCATTTTTAATACAATTAATAATATGGCAGATAGAATTTATTTATAAAATGATAAATTTATTTATATGTGTTCATTAAATACTTCCAACTTTAAAAGGTGTAATATAATTATTTTGGTTCCATAATTAGAGTAATTTCTGTATTTTCTATACCATAATTTTGTGATTATTGTTCTGATTAACGCTTTTTCTTGAGACATAAATATGCAACTAGAATAGACAATAATGCAAAAGCGAAGATAATCACTGGAGCCAAAATATATAATAATTTATAATCCACTTCATTTGTTTTTGCCAGATAAACTGAATTATAAGGAACTGTTTGATTAAAATCTCTATGTTGAATAAAGCCAAAAACATAAATTAAGACATCTTGATCGAATTAATATAGATAATCAGTAACAAATTATTATTTAGATTCATAATCTGTTTGCTTATGATAATATATAGCATAATAATTGGTAGTATTCATTTTAGATAGTAATTCTTCATCTCCAAATGAACATTAAATTAAATTACTATCATACAAATTTGATGTAATTATAATTTTGTAATAAATAGTCTGTTAATATTGATTAAATGAAGGAATGCTCAAAAAGATTTTATTCTTTTTGAATTAAGCTTTTGGTGTTTAACTATCTCTTAATTAATAAACATCTTAATCTGAGCTACTAGTAAGTACTTGATACTATTATAATTTAATTTTATACTTTAAAATAAAAGTTAGTATAAAAATTGTCACTATTTTCAATTCTATAAAAATATTACTAACCAGCCTATGCATGAAAAGTATCTTAGTAGAGATAATTACCCTAATAAACCAAATCTCTGTATTAATTATTTGGATTGACTTATTTTATTTTTAATGGTCCTTTTGAAACTTCAGATTAGAATATTTCAACATATATTAAAGCCTTAGTTGATGTGTAAATCATAAAATCTTCAGAGCTTTATAATGAATTATATGAGGCAACATTTTCTAATGGGTATTGTTTATAATGGTAAGTTTAATCATATAAAAATTTTCACTCTTTATATAAACTTTTTTAGTAACTATTATAAACTCTTAATGTATATTCACAATCTTAAGTTTCTAAATCAGATATCCAAATAGAAAAATAATGATCACCACATCCAGCCTCCTTTCTATCTTTAGGTGTTATTATTATACTTTATTAGTTGAAAGCAGTCCATATTTTTTAAGGACTAAGCTAAAACAATAATTTTAGTTATTTACATCACAACTCAAGTCAATTTAAAGGTAAGGCTCTTTAATTAAGAATTCTAAAGTAACACTTCTAATTTCAATTGAATTTAGTTCAAACTCAAAGAGTTTTTCTCTTTAAATTTGATAAATTTAGAGAAATAATATCTATAATAACATTAACTTATTTATTTAATTAATAATTACTAATAAGAGGCTAATTATAATACATTTTAATACAATATAGATTTAAATACATACAAGTTAATACAGATTATTTATTTCTTGATATAATTCTGATTTTAATTAAATGTTATTTTATGGATGTTTCAATTTAATTCCTTATTCTGACTTATTCATATACTTCAATTATATTATCAAAATTTTGGTGTGTTTAAGATAAAATAATATATTTATGATGTAAATTTATGAAAATAACATAATAATAACTTAATTTTCAAACTAATATATTTGATAATATAAATAGGATAAAATCCCTTTTAACTTTGACTTAAAATTTAAATAAAATAATATCAAAATATCCTAAATATCTGTCAATCTAATATTATTAAAAAGTATAATGTAAGAAAATTAATCAGAATTACATATTTTTTTTATTGAAATTTATTTTATTATGTATTTATTAAAGAATTATTATAATAAAAAAAAATGAAAACAAAGATTGAGTAAGCTTGTTAAAAACAAAAAAAGCATTAAGAAGAAGGATAAAGACTTCTAGCTTTGGGTTAAAAATTTTACTTTCAATATGATTTGCATTCTATAGATTTTGTCACATAATTTCTGCCTTAATTTTTAGATTATTATGTGAACTCTTAAAAGAGAGATAAGTATGCTAATCTATTGCCATTAATTTCAAAAACAAATTGCCGATATAGAAATATATTGACTAAATTTGATTTGAATCTATTATTTCCTGGAAGAATTTGGGAATCTGAAATGACACGTAATTATAAATATAAAAACTTATAGCATAATTTTTAGAATAGATGTCTGATTAACGTAATTTAAGTTTACCTTCACTTTTTTATTTAATTAAATTAATATTGTAAGGAGATTTTTTCATTGAATAGAATGAAACAACAAAATTATCATAATATCATATGTATAAATTTAAGAAAATGTATTTTTAATAATTTAAACTACCTTATTCACAATATTATTAAATATATAATCAATATCTATAAGGAGAATCTGTAATTGTTCAAATAATACCAAATGAAAAATTTACTCTAAATAATCAAAATAAGCTTGAAACTTTATAATATGTTGATACTATTGTTTTTGTTACTTAATCATTGTTATAACATGAAAATGTAAGAAAATATCAAAATCAATAAGATTAAAATCCTTTTCTTTTAGATGATTACAATGTAATATAAGAAATATAAAAACCTAATAAATATGGTTAGATAAAAATTGGAGATAATCCTACCATTTAAGGTTATTATTATATGGAATGAAAAATAAAGTTTCATTTCTTTAAGTCCTACAATTATTTGTCAGATATAATAAATACTATTAAAGGACATGAAACAGCATATATATATCCAAATTATCATTTAGACTAATTATAATATAACTCTTATTGCAAATATTATAATTATTCAAGTAAAATATTTTAATTATTTTTAATTTATGAGTAATTAAAAGTTAAGTATGGATATTATGATATACTTGATATTATTAATCATATAAATTATTAATAAGTATTTTGTTATGATTCTATTGAATATATGCATTGTATTATATTAGATGAACTTTAAGATGTTCCTAAAGCATTATTAATACTTCTAAATAGAATGACTTAAGTTTAATTATTTTTAGCTGGAGATAATGCATAAAATATTGTTAAAGGAATTGGAATTAAATTTTCAGATATTTAAACTTGTCTTGAAAATGAAAAAAAATAAAAATCATCTATTAAATTTAATAAAACATCTTTAATTAGATTGTCTTATAACTTTAGATCTAGCAATTAAATTTTATAATTAGGTAATGCAATAGTTAATGTACTTGAATTATTTTATCCAAATTAAATTGATATTCTTTAAAAAGAAAAATCAATTTATTAAAGTCCAAAACCAACAATTATTTAAAGTATTAAAATCTAGGATTTATTGAACTATTTATATAAATAGTATAAAAATAAATAGAGTAATGTAGATTTTTGTTATAATTCAGTAATTATAGTAAGAGATTAGGATTCTAAATTGAAAATTCCAATTGAATTATAAAATGCAATAATTTTAACTATTTATGAAGCAAAAGGTTTAGAATTTGATGATGTAATTCTATATAATTATTTTGCTGATGCTGATGTTAAAGATGATGATGAGGATGTATGGGATAGACTTTAATCATTAGAAATAGTCAAAATAACAATGGATAAACATGATTGGAGTACAAAATGTAAAATAATTTATTAACATATTTAGAAAATAAAAATTAATTTTTAACACATACAAATTTAAGTAAACATGAAGTGGAATTGACAAAAATGCAAATTAAATAATTTAATTGCAAATAGAAATAGAGTTTTACAACTATTATAATCCAAACAAAATTCATTTATCACTTTAATAAGAATTAAAATAACTTTATGTTGCAATAACTAGACCAAAAAAGAAATTAATAATATTTGATTAATCGTTATAAAATAGATATTATATTTAAAATATTTGGGAAGAAATGGGATTTGTAGAAATAATATAAGAAACCTAATGATAATAAATATAAGAATATTAATTTATATTATCATTTTCAATAGATAATAAATCTAATTGGAAACAATAAGGATATAGAATGCTTAAATAAAATAATTATGAATAAGCTTATAAATGTTTTATGCTTGCTTCAGAAATTGAATTAGCTAAGAAATCTATGGCTTATAATTTAGCAACATAAGCTTCTCTTAATTATTCTAATAATATTTATTTATTTGTTTAAGCAGCTACATTATTTGAAGAAATAAATTTACATAAAAGAGCAGCTTCTTGTTATTTTTCTGGATAATATTAATTAGCTGGTTAAATATTTTCAGAATTAGGAGAAGTTAGAAGATCTATTGAATGTTTTAATAAATAAAATCTTTGGGATGCTTCTATAAAATAACTTAGCTTAAATAAAGATTATTTTACTACTGAAGAGAAAATGATGTTCTTAAATATTATAATTCCTTAATATTTGAAAAAAATAATTGAAGAAATTGAAAAAGAAGAATTATTAGAATAACAAAAAGAATCTCTTATTAATCCTTATGATGAAACTTAAAGTTTTTAAGTTGAAAATTCAGTTATGGATGAAAGTTAATTATAGAATAATAATATTGAAAATGATTAGGAAATTATTAATTTAGAAAATAATGAAGATTCATAGTCTTTTCAAGTTTTTAAAGAAGATTCATTTGATCATTTATCTATTTATGATCCTGATGATGAATGGATTAAACCAGAAAATAAATCATTAATTAAATCTATTGCATCTTCTAGTGTAGAATCAAAATTTACTAATGTCTTATTAATGATTTAACCATCAAATATTTCACTTCTTAAATCAAGATTAAATATTTTTATGAAAAATAATATTATGTTAGAATTAGCTGAAAGATTTTAATAATTTTAAGATGAATTTAAACTTCTTTTAGAAAATTAAAAAAGTTAATGTGTATTATTATCATTTAGAAAGTAAGATGAAAAAGAATTTGATCACATGATTAATTTTTTATATGATTTAGAGTAGAATCTGTATACTTTACATTGGATATTTTAGAATATTTTAAAAGTTATAAACTATGTATTTATGTTTGTAATCAATTTAAATTATCATCACATTTAGGTAGATATTTGGTGTCTTTAGCTTCATAATATACACCTGTTACAAAAAATAATTTTAAAATAGAAAATTGGATTATTGGTAATAATTTAAAAAGGAAACGTTTATTAGATTAAGCACTTGTAGCTTAGTTAGCATTTATAAATATTTTAGAATCAATTAATCCAATTTATTTATAATTTAAAAATGAAGAATAACTTCATTCTTCTCATAGTTTTGGAATAGATTGTTATAAATAATTAATTGGATTAGGTTATTGGAAAACTATAATTTATTAATTAAACTATTAAAATGCAATAAATTTATGTCAATCTTTCAATAATTATTAAGATTTGATAAACTTAATTTAAAAAATTAAAGAATAAAGAAAATTAACAGAAGAAGAACATTATTAATTAATTAAATATAATTATTTTATTTAATTAGAATAATATTTTCTATAAAATTAATCTTAGAATGTTAATTTTGATTAAGAATTCGAGATAACGATTTAATGTGTTTCCTAAAAAAAATTAACTAAATCTAATTTAACATAATTAATAAATAATTCAAAATTAAATCAAGTAAACCTAACAAATTAAGAGAAACTTAAATAATTAGAATCTATAATTTTAGGTATGTTTTGTTCTATGGGAATAATAAAATTTGAATTTGATTAATATTCTACTATTATTGATTTAATTTAACAATAATAATACGTTATAAATCAATTACCATTTGCTTAAAAAAGATCAAATATAATTGAAGCACTTTAATTTATATTTAAATTCTCTTTTCCTATTGGAGAGATAATGATAGATTTTTCTTAATATTGTATTATACATATAACATCGAAACTAATTAAAAATGTTAATGAATAAATGATATTTATGGATATTGCATATGAATATGTTTTGATACCTTTTGAAACATTAGGAAAATTAATAAAATAATATTTATATAATTAAAAACCAATCTAAATATTATATTAAACTATTCAAAATTAATAAGAAGAATAAGATATAACAACTATTTTTTAATGTTTAAAATAAAGATTATAATATTAATATGAGAATGTTCTTACATATTTAACTTAGACATCAAAAGATCAAGCAGATTATTATTCAAAAGTTGTATATGGAAATAGATAAAAAAATATTTAAAATATAGTTGAAGATCATGAAACTTCTATTTTACATTTTTCTAAATTTGATGAGATTAGAACTTTTCATAAATGGTTATTATAAACTAATAATAGATTTAATAAAATGAATAAATAATTTAAATATTATTTAAAAAATGAAAGTATAGTTTTATTTGAGTAAGGTATTAATAATTCAAAATAAAAACATGGTTATTTTATCTTAGCCTTAAATTTGTTACACTTCTAAAATGATATACCATTAGCTATTTTTACATTATAGAATATGANAATATAATTATTTTATTTAATTAGAATAATATTTTCAATCAACTAAAAGTTTGAATGTTAATTTTGATTAAGAATTTGAGATTACTATTTAATATGTTTCTTAAAGAAAATTAACTCAAGCCAATTTAAAATAATTAATAAATAATTCAAAACTCAATTAAGTAAACTTAACAAATTAAGAGAAACTTAAATAATTAGAATCATTAATTTTAGGTATGTTCTGTTCTATGGGAATTATATAATTTGAAATGGATTAACATTCTACTATTATTGATTTAATTTAATAATAATAATACATGATAAATCAATTGCCATTTGCTCAAAATAAACCAAATATAATTGAAGCACTTCAATTTATATTTAAATTTTCATTTCCAGTTGGAGATATAATGCTAGATTTTTCTTAATATTGTATTATTCATATTACATCAAAACTTATAAAAAATGTTAATGAACAAATGATATTTATGGATATTGCGTATGAATATGTTTTGATGTCATTTGAAACGTTAGGAAAATTAATAAAATAATATATTTGTAATTAAAAACCAATCTAAATATTATTTTAAACTCTTCAAAATTAAAAACAAGTATAAGAAATAACAATTATCTTTTAATGCTTAAAATAAAGACTATAATATTAATATGAGAATATTCTTATATATTTAACTTAGAATTCTAAAGATCAAGCAGATTATTATTCAAAAGTTGTATATGGAATGAAATAAAAAAATAATTAAAATTCAGTAGAAGATCATGAATCTTCTATTTTACATTTTACAAAATTTGATGAGATAAGAGCTTTTCATAAATGGTTATTATAAACTAATAATAGATATAACAAAATGGATAAATAATTTAAATATTATTTAAAAAATGAAAGTATAGTTTTATTTGTGTAAGGCATGAATAATCCATAATAAAGACATGGTTTTTTCATTTTAGCTTTAAATTTGTTACACTTCTAAAATGATATTGCATTTGCTATTTTTATATTATAGAATATGAAAAATAAAGATGAATCAGAGTATTATATAAAATATCTAGAATTCTTAGAGTGTTAACATTTCAATATTATTGAAGATTCATTTGATTGCTTTATTTAATTTAGTTAATATTTTGAAGATAGAATATATTTAGATGAATGGATAAATCATTTAATTAGAATTGCCATAAAGTTACTTTTAGCACAAGAAGGAATCAAATAAATCCTTATTCCATAAAAATTTATAAACTTTATTTCCCCTGAATTAAAAATTGAACAGCCATTATTTTAAATAACTAAAGATGAAATTATTCAATATTTTATTGATTAACTCTTAAACTATATAGAAACCTGTAATTCAGAATATTATGAATATTTAAGTAATTTATTATTAATAGTCTTCATGATTAATTTATAGAATCTCTCTGATAATGTTAAAGACAAATTATGCCAAACTTTTTCTAATTAAAATACATTTCCATATTATAAATAATTAAACTAATTTTTAAATCAGAAAAATCCAAAATTACAATAAGATTTAATTCATAATATCGATATACTATTTATCAAAGGATTTTTTGAAGAAAAACTCAGTATATTATAAATTTGTTAAAATTCAAGTAATTTAAAGCCTTAAATAATATATTAAAATTGTCTAAACAAATGGGAAAGTTACTTTTTAGAAGCTTAGTAAATTAAATAAAAAGGTATAAATTTATTGAAAAAATGGAGATAATTTAAATAATATTATAAAAATATGAAATAATTTAAAAGTAAATAAATTCCTTAAGTGATTAGATATTATCAATTCAATAAATTGTTATTAAAGGATTTTACATTTTAATAAAACCATGAAAATCTCATAATAAAAATATATCATTTATAAGAGTATTTTTTTATTATTTATTTTTAGAGAACTTTTGAAACTGAGATAAAAAATGATAAGAAGCGCAGATTTTTAATTTGTAAATCAAATTTTAAATAACTCTACAAATATATTAAAAGAAATAAATAATGGCAATCTTTAATTTGAACTTTTTGAAGAACTATTATTAAAATTTTTGAGTTGGAAAGATAAGATTAATGCTTTCGAAAAAAATGAATAGGAACTTCTATAAAGAAATAGATAAATTCTAAAATTGAAATGGTAGAAATTATAAGCAGGAATTAAAGTACAAAATAAGTTTGACTCTTAACATATTAAAACTGTTGAGGGACATTTAGACGAAGATTCTCAAAATCGATCTTACATTTCGGATATGATATTTATAATAATATAATCAGATTTGAAATTTTCCACTTAGTTTTCATAAAATTTTTTATTAATTATTTCAAAATTATAAATGACAGTATATTATATTAAAATATTATTTCGTAATTTATCAATCTTAAGCTTATAAGATATTAAACATGCGTATACAGTAAATTTTCAAGATTTAAAAAAAATATATATATAAAATAAATGTTAATAATTTTAATATTCATGAATTTAATACCTTTAAAAAAGAAAATGAATCTAAGGGTTTATAAAAGAACAATGATAAATTCTCAAAATTTTTAATTACAAATGCTGATAGTTTTAAGGCATATCACTTTAACTTATCAAAAAATTGTTAATTAAATAGTTAAATAGGTTTGAAGAATTTTAAGTTGCTTTAAAGTAATTATTTATCAAGAAATGCAAATTTTATGGGATAATGATAAAAAACTTGTATATTTGTAATCATAATTTAAAAATCTTTAATTATTTAAAAATAGAATTTACCGAATCAATTATTTAAAATTAATTTTTATTATTCAAACAATCATATTAATTATAGAAATTATTAACATAAAAATTTTACAAGAAACCAATTTTAAAAAAAATGATTTTCTATTCTTAAGAATATTATATTGGTCAAAATCATTGATTCATAATCATGTATTATTATATTTAAAAATTTTCAAATAATAAATTATAGAACTTAACAGAGAAAATAAATTATATAATAATTTTTTATTACTAATAAATTTCCTTATTATCCTACAATTTATTTTTTAAAATATAAATTTTCAAATTTGACAGAAATACTATAATATATAGAAATTTTATTGATTATAATTTCTGGTAATTGGTTCATTATTTTATTAACTTGATGATCATTAAAATTCTAAGCGTGACTGAGAATATTATTTTAGATTTATGGATATTAACTTAAAATTTAATTTTATGCCAAGTTCTTATAGATAATTTATAATATTATTTTCTTATTAACATCATGTGAAATAATGTATTAATCACTCATTTTGAGTTGATATAATACTATAGATTTAGAATCCTTGAATTTAATTATTATTCTAAACTGCATTCACAATTTTGTAAGTTTGATCTAAAAATAAATCTTAATATATTTATTTTCATTCATTAAGAATTGAATTATGGATCCTATATGGATTTTTGTTAGCATTTCTTGTGTTTTAAAAAGATATGATCTAATTTATTAGTGTAAATTTCTTTAAGTTTTTTCTTTTTCAATGATATCATGCAAATGATTTTGAATAAAAATAATTATAATTTTATGATATATTTTTAATTAAATAAATCATTTATAATTTCAATCAGGGACTTACCTCCAATTCTTAATTTAGTATTACTAATATTTTTGATGATCCTATCTTGACTCCTGTAATATAAGTAACATAGTGTTAAAATTTAATTTAAACTCTTATAGTTAAATCATTGTATAAAGGATGTATCCTTAAAGTTAATAATTAGAAATATCAGTCCATATAAATTTTGGAATTAAAATTTAATTTTAGTGATTGATTACAGGATTAACATAATATATTTTGTTATTCACTTTTATATTGTTATTTTAAAAAAACTTATGAGTAAAAATTTTTAAATCTTGATTATCATCTAGATCTTTTAAAAATTATTTAAATTATTAATATATCGATTCTCTCTATTGAATTGGCATAACATCAAAATATTGAAAATAATTATCAAAATAAAATTAAAACTCGGCATATTAGGTTATACTCTCTGTTTTTATCAGTTAAGTAGTCATTTTTTTTTCGATGTTTTCCAGCTAAATCGTAAAAATTTTGTGATTATTTTTCAGTATTATTATTCGAATAATACTATTATATTTTATTCTATATATTCCCCTTTAATTATGAATTATTTTCGACATATTAACTAAATTATTAAAATTGTTTGAAAACGTAATCCTATATTTCCTCTAAAGCTTTAATCAAATCTAATTATTTGATTTTTACACCATTTACACTAGGAGGGGGTTAATTTAAAACTCTTGCGCAATATCTTGTTGTTTATATAAAGTTATAATTTTTTGTCAAAAGTAAACTTACAATATATGATTAAATAGGGGTTGAACATTTTAAGTTTTTATATGTAAGATTCAATTTTTTAAATAATTTTTTATGCCTTTAAATTCAATTATTCTAAGTACTTAAATCCAATCTGATTATTTTATAATGTATTTTCAATAGATTATTTGTACCCATTAAAATCTACATATATGCTTGGTGTATTCTATTACCCCTAATATTTAGATTAATTTATATCCATGCTTGAAATAAATAAAATTAATAATAGAAATTGTTTTATATTTATATTAAGAATATATATGATAATAATACATTGTTAATTTATTTTAATGTAATATCATTTTCCCACAAAACTTTTTGACTTTTTAATTGTAAATATAAAACATAACCCTTAATACTTTAATGATTAGGATTAATTATGCCGAAAAAAAAAGAAAGGAAAATGAAAATAATTTAAAATATGGAATTAAGAAAAGTAAAATAATTTATATTCAATTGAATATCAATTAACTTTAAAATAGCAATTCGATATTCAAGAAAATTGTGTGTTAAAATTAGCAAAAAAAGAAGTCAACATATAAAAATATATTATGTAAATAATTATAAGGAAAAACTGTATAATAATTTTTATTCTCTCAGAAATACAACAACTATGAGATAGATTTATTTATTGAATATTTTCATTATTGAAAATCTGAATTAAAGCAAGAAAATATAACAGAACATAAATTACTTCATTAGAAAATTCACTTATTAACATCAAAAATTTATTTAATCAAAATAATATTTAATCTATAAAAATATTAACAAGATCAATAACATTTGGTATTTTAAAATAAGGTTGAAAAAAAAATAAAAAATCCTAATGGAATTGTAAACGATTTATTTTGAAATTTAATAAGCAATGCTTATAAATGAAAGAAATGTTAAGGATCATTTTATAAGTATGCTAATAATTATTTTAATTTCGTGCAATAGATGAAGGCAATACTATGTAGTATCATATAGGAAAATAATCTTTTGAATATTATTATTTTAAGTTAAAAAAAACATAGTAAACTGAAAATGATAATTCTTTTAAGAAATCTTTAGACATAATTATTTGGTTTCAAGACAATTATGATTATATAAGCATAATTAACAGAATAGTACAGAAATTAAAAATATAAATAAAGTTAAAATATTTAGACTTTAAATAATATGAGAAGTAAGTTTATGCCATAAAATATAATTAATACTGCTATAAATTAGCATAATAAATTATTAGTTTTAAACCTAATATTGGCAGAATTTGAAAAAAATATTTAGTAAGTAATCATTTTATTTTCAATTTTATTTGAATAAAAAATGATTTTAAAAATAATAATATTATTAAAGAATAATAATAGGTTAATAAAGTGAATAATGTTTTTCAATATATTATTTTTATATATTATTTATCATATTTAATTTTTTTCAAAAAATTGTGTGATTAATTAGACAACTTAATTATTTACAGAATGTTTCAAATTTGGAATAATGATATGTTAATAATTTTCTCGATTAGGAATATTTAATCTTTCAAGACTTCTTGATAAAAAATCACAAGGAACTACTTTGTCAGCACTTCCATGAATAATTAGAAGAGGAGTTTTATCTTAAATTTATTATAATTTAGTTGTAGGAAATAAATCTCCTGATAAACCAACTATTCCTCCTAAAGTTTAAGAAAAACTTAAACCAACTTCTAATGCCATACAACAACCTTAAGAAAATCCTCCTATATATACATTTTTAGCTGAAACTATTTCAATTTCATCATTTAGATATTTCATTATTAATTATTTTGATTCCTCAATTTCATCTATAGAAACAGTCTTAATAATAATAATAATAATAAATTATTTACAGTTTTAAAATAATCCAATTCTTAATTTTTTTCTATATCAGGTTGAATTACTTTAATATCAAACCAACTTGAACAATATACTCCCTTATTAATAGTGACAGGTCGATTAGGAGCTTATAATAAAAGTATTTTAGTTTATTTTTTAACAATTGGACATTGTTAAAATGTATTCAAAAATCCATATGCAGTATCACATAATCCATGCATCCAAATTAATGAATATTTATGATCACATTTTGGAAAAAGAATTATACTTCCATCAGGTTGTTTTTATGGATTCATAAATATATTAAAAATTATTAAATATAATTTAATTAAATTAATAAGAAATAATCAAAAATACATAATTTTAAACAATATATATATCCTTTTCTTATTTCTTTATAACGCTTCCTTTAATTGTTTTCTCACTATTTTCATCTCGTCTCACCATTTATTTCAAAATTCACTTAAAAAATGATTCTACTCATAAAAATATATTGTTATTGTTTTAAATATTAAAAAAATACTGATTTTTATAATGTCTCAAAAGAACTTATACAAATTTAGGTTTTCCTATTCTTTTTAATTTAAATATAATCAAAAAATATTTAACATTATAATAAATTAGATTTAAATTTCTTTAACTATTATAATTTCTAAAGATTATTTAAAGATATATTACTTTCATTTTATGAGAATCAATATTTATCATTAACTAAATAATTTTTTATAAATATCATAAATAAAATCTAAACTCATTAAAATAACATTAAATATTATTATAAATTTGAATCCTTAAAATTTTCAAAAATAATTGCTATTTGATTCTAATAATAGATTGCACAATCATTAAATAAAATATTAATCCTAAATGGAATAATTCTTAAATTTTTTAACTGTATATTCTAATATTTCAAAGCAGAAGATTTATTCCAAATTAAGTTAATATTTAAGTTACAGTACTATGATACTTTTTAGATAATTATATTGTCAAAATAGTTCAAAATATTAGACTATTAAGAAATTAAAAAATTAAACACTTCTAGTTAAAGATTTTCAGTAAGTAACTTTACATATTTTTTAAAGGAGAAGGTTTCTTTAGTGTTCCATTAAGAGATATATTATCATCACTTGGGATAAAATTAAACATAATAAACAATTACTTATATCTAATCTCTGTGATAATAATAATTTTAGTTGCGTCGCCTTTAATTAGAAAATAACCTTACCTCTTTAAAGTTAATAATTAATGTTATAATTATCTTAATAATCTTTTTGAATAAGAGATATTGAATTATATCTTTTTGAAATTGTAATAATCATATTTAGGTTGTGCAATGTGTGGAAATGGATATATTAAAGGAAAATATGATGATTTTAATATATCTTCTTTTATTGGTTATTTTAATTTTTAATATTAATGCGTTAAAAAATGTATTAATTGGATGGAAGGGATTTTTATAATTGTTAATTACTATAATTCAAAATGATTAAAAATAAATTAATATATATGTAAAATAAATCTTTCTTTATTTGTAGTTATAACAAAATTCATTAACTAATTTCTTAAATTGCTCTAAAATTTAAATGAATTTAGAAAGCATAACATTTTTAATGGAAAACAATTTGCTAAAGATACATTAATTCAGTATTTTAGATCATAAACAAATGAACAATAATATAATTCTTTACAATAGATAATAAGATGTTAATTAATTTAAGCAAATATAAAAATTATTGGTAAAATACAATTTAATTAACAATAATCTAAATAGTTTTTTTTTTGAANATAGTTAACATAAAACTTTAATAATTGGTCTTATATACTATATGATGTTTGTTTTAAATATTAGTTAATTTTAATTTGATCAATATGGTATTGACTGTTTATAAAAAATTTGTTCAAAATGGTGGTGGTTGTGATAAATATTGCTAAATAGAAATAATTTCATATTTTAGAATATATTACCTAATTATTAAGAAGTTTTAATCAAATTCAATTAAAAAATACAATATTTACAATCCTGAAAACTACCAGAGTTAATATAATATTTAACTTTAACTATCAAGATCACATTTATTAAATTTTAACTTATCATAAAATGATATATTAATTAGTACTGCTTATTTGAATTTTTATTTAAATAATTTTGCATTTTTGATGTTCCTAAATATGAATCCTACAATAATTACTATAGAAAACGAAATTAAAAATTATGTAGATCTATTATTCTACTGATATATCTTTTGATATAATTAGAAATTTTGCTGATTTTTAAACGACTATTTATCAGAGATTTTAATCATAATAAAATGATAAAAAATTGTAGAACATTTTTAATTAAATTGATCATTTTTTCATAATTTTAAGATATAGAGATATCATATCAATATTTTGATATTTAAATCTGATCTATATTTAATAATTGTTTTTAAATAAGATTTTTATTTAAAAACACTTAATTATAATCTATTCATTAAAAAGGATATGTGAAGGTGAGTACTTATTAAATTTATTAATTTTAAATATGTAAAATGACTTAAACTATTTTAATTTTTGCAATTTTTTTTATAGTTATAACCAATTTTAGATATTATCAAAATGAATAATCTTTTATCTTAAATTTTTTCAGAAAGATATTTAGAATCTTACAAGAAACTTTTTTGCTACAGAGAGTCAATGCAGGTATCAATAATATGAGAAGTAAGTTTATGCCATAAAATATAATTAATACTGCTATAAATTAGCATAATAAATTATTAGTTTTAAACCTAATATTGGCAGAATTTGAAAAAAATATTTAGTAAGTAATCATTTTATTTTCAATTTTATTTGAATAAAAAATGATTTTAAAAATAATAATATTATTAAAGAATAATAATAGGTTAATAAAGTGAATAATGTTTTTCAATATATTATTTTTATATATTATTTATCATATTTAATTTTTTTCAAAAAATTGTGTGATTAATTAGACAACTTAATTATTTACAGAATGTTTCAAATTTGGAATAATGATATGTTAATAATTTTCTCGATTAGGAATATTTAATCTATCAAGAGTTTTTGATAAAAAAATCACAAGGAACTATTTTATCAGCACTTCCATGAATAATTAGTAGAGGAGTTTTATCTTAAGTTTATTATAGTTTAGTAATAGGAAATAAATCTCCAGATAAACCAACTATGCCTCCAAGAGTTTAAGAATAACTCAAACCAACTTCTAATGCCATACAACAACCTTATGAAAATCCTCCAATTTATACATTTTGAGCTGAAACTTTTTGAACTTCATCATTTAAATATTTCATTATTATAATTTTTTTTGATTCCTCAATTTCATCAATAGAAACAGTCTTATTATTATGCATATTAATATATTTACAGTTTTAAAATAATCCAAATCTTAATTTTTTTCTATATTAGATTTAATTACTTTAATGTCAAACCAACTTGAACAATATTTTCCATTATTAATAGTGACAGGTCGATTAGGAGCTTATAATAAAATTATTTTAGTTTATTATTTAACAATTGAATATTGTTAAAACATATCTAAAAATCCATTAGCAGTATCTCCTAATCCATGCATCTAATAAGGAAAATGTTGATATTTACCCAAATTAATGAAAATTTATGATCTTATTTTGGAAAAAGAATTATGCTTCCATCTGCTTGTTTTTAAGGCATCATAAATATTTTATGATATTAAAATTTAGTTTATAAAAATTATTAAGAAATAATTAGAAATAAATAATTTGAAATATCATTTTTTTATTACTTTATTATTTCTGTTTCTTTTCAGAATTGTTTTCACAAACCCACTCAAAAAATTATACAGTTGAAAAAAACATTGTTATTGTTTTATATATGAAAAGGTTATTCTACTTTTATTATAATTTTCAAATGATTATATTAGCTACATCAATAAAATATAGG